AACGGAAGGTTTTGTTACATTTTAAGCCATAACCTTTCACATTTTGTTGCACCAGAGGCATGAATCTGCATCTGCTCTCCGAGACGGTTAAAATGACATCAAGCTCAAAGCAGTCGGACCTTCCTAAGTGGCAAAAACAGTAGGGTATAGCATGCACAGGTGACCTTTGACCTTTGGAGCTTTGTTACATTTTAAGCCGTAACTTTTGACATTAGGAGCAGCAGAGGCATCAATCTGCATGTACTTTTCGAGCCGGTTCTAATGAGAGCAAGCTCAAAGCGGTCGAACCTTCCTTTGTGCCGTAAAGGGCACCGTGAAGCATGAAAATGTGACCTCTGACCACAGTTTTGACCTTGTTGAAGGTCGCAGGGTCCCCATATTTTGCAAGCGGGTTCCACAGACGTTAAGCAACACACTCTGAAAGTTTCAGAACGCCAACTACATTTTTTTCAATTTTTTTCATTTTCCTCCCCACCTCCACCACAAGGGTGTCAGATGCGAAACTGCATTGTGTGAGAAAGTTTGTCATTTTATCAAAAAAAAAGTTCTGTGTGGGTTAGGTTTCCCATATTTCAGATTCCTTATCTAGGCCCTATTTAGAGTCCCCCTGTCAAAAAAGTATCTCTTTAGCCCTTTTCAAAGTACTTTAAACACTCATGCAGCACTACAGCATCTCAAAAGGCCTTAACGGAAGGTTTTGTTACATTTTAAGCCATAACCTTTCACATTTTGTTGCACCAGAGGCATGAATCTGCATCTGCTCTCCGAGACGGTTAAAATGACATCAAGCTCAAAGCAGTCGGACCTTCCTAAGTGGCAAAAACAGTAGGTTATAGCATGCACAGGTGACCTTTGACCTTTGGAGCTTTGTTACATTTTAAGCCGTAACTTTTGACATTAGGAGCAGCAGAGGCATCAATCTGCATGTACTTTTCGAGCCGGTTCTAATGAGAGCAAGCTCAAAGCGGTCGGACCTTCCTTTGTGCCGTAAAGGGCACCGTGAAGCATGAAAATGTGACCTCTGACCACAGTTTTGACCTTGTTGAAGGTCGCAGGGTCCCCATATTTTGCAAGCGGGTTCCACAGACGTTAAGCAACACACTCTGAAAGTTTCAGAACGCCAACTACATTTTTTCAATTGTTTTCATTTTCCTCCCCTCCTCCACCACAAGGGTGTCAGATGCTAAACTGCATTGTGTGAGAAAGTTTGTCATTTTATCAAAAAAAAAGTTCTGTGTGGGTTAGGTTTCCCATATTTCAGATTCCAGATCTGAGCCCTATTTAGAGGCCCCCTGTGAAGAAATTATCTCTTTAGCCCTTTTCAAAGTACTTTAAACACTCATGCAGCACTACAGCATCTCAAAAGGCCTTAACGGAAGGTTTTGTTACATTTTAAGCCATAACCTTTCACATTTTGTTGCACCAGAGGCATGAATCTGCATCTGCTCTCCGAGACGGTTAAAATGACATCAAGCTCAAAGCAGTCGGACCTTCCTAAGTGGCAAAAACAGTAGGGTATAGCATGCACAGGTGACCTTTGACCTTTGGAGCTTTGTTACATTTTAAGCCGTAACTTTTGACATTAGGAGCAGCAGAGGCATCAATCTGCATGTACTTTTCGAGCCGGTTCTAATGAGAGCAAGCTCAAAGCGGTCGGACCTTCCTTTGTGCCGTCAAGGGTACTGTCGGCATTGCGAATGTGACCTCTGACCTCCGTTTTGACCTTGTCGAAGGTCGCAGGGTCCCCATATTTTGCAAGCGGGTTCCACAGACGTTAAGCAACACACTCTCAAAGTTTCAGAACGCCAACTACATTTTTTCAATTTTTTTCATTTTCTGCCCCTCCCCACCACAAGCCTGTCAGACCCATATTGGTTACAAGTACACAGTAAGTGAATACATGTGTTACTGTATAATATATGGTAAGTGGGCGCCATATTGGGTTGACGGACACCCCCCCCCCAAGTACAAGTACACAGCAAGTGAATACATGTGTTACTGTGTAATATATGGTAAGTGGGCGCCATATTGGGTTGACGGACACCCCCCCCCCCCCCAAGTACAAGTACACAGCAAGTGAATACATGTGTTACTGTGTAATATATGGTAAGTGGGCGCCATATTGGGTTGACGGACCCCCCCCCCCCCCCAAGTACAAGTACACAGCAAGTGAATACATGTGTTACTGTGTAATATATGGTAAGTGGGCGCCATATTGGGTTGACGGACACCCCCCCCCCCCCAAGTACAAGTACACAGCAAGTGAATACATCTGTTACTGTGTAATATATGGTAAGTGGGCGCCATATTGGGTTGACGGACACCCCCCCCCCCCCAAGTACAAGTACACAGCAAGTGAATACATGTGTTACTGTGTAATATATGGTAAGTGGGCGCCATATTGGGTTGACGGACACCCCCCCCCCCCAAGTATAAGTACACAGCAAGTGAATACATGTGTTACTGTGTAATATATGGTAAGTGGGCGCCATATTTGGTTGACGGACACCCCCCCCCCCCAAGTACAAGTACACACCAAGTGAATACATGTGTTACTGTGTAATATATGGTAAGTGGGCGCCATATTGGGTTGACGGACACCCCCCCCCATACGTACAAGTACACAGCAAGTGAATACATGTGTTACTGTGTAATATGTGGAAAGTGGGCCATCATATTGCCTTTGGGCCACCCCCCATGCAGTATAAGTACACACTGGTGAGAAGAGCGCCATCTATTGTCCGATACATGACTACACACTCATATGCTGTGTAAGTACTCAAATAGCCTGCCGAGCGACGGTAAAAAGTTGAGTCGGTCCCTCCTCCTGGATATACTGCCCACGACAATGTTATCCCAATGGGAAGAATGTCCATGCCGGCAATAGACGACTTACCACCGAGCGCACACACACATCGCCTGCTTCCCACCGAGCGCACACACACATCGCCTGCTTCTCACCGAGCGCACACACACATCGCCTGCTTCCCACCGAGCGCACACACACATCACCTGCTTCCCACCGAGCGCACACACACATCGCCTGCTTCCCACCGAGCGCACACACACATCGCCTGCTTCCCACCGAGCGCACACACACATCGCCTGCTTCCCACCGAGCGCACACACACATCGCATGCTTCTCACCGAGCGCACACACACATCGCCTGCTTCCCACCGAGCGCACACACACATCGCCTGCTTCCCACCGAGCGCACACACACATCGCCTGCTTCTCACCGAGCGCACACACACATCGCCTGCTTCTCACCGAGCGCACACACACATCGCCTGCTTCTCACCGAGCGCACACACACATCGCCTGCTTCTCACCGAGCGCACACACACACATCGCCTGCTTCCCACCGAGCGCACACACACATCGCCTGCTTCCCACCGAGCGCACACACACATCGCCTGCTTCTCAGCGAGCGCACACACACATCACCTGCTTCCCACCGAGCGCACACACACACCACCTGCTTCCCACCGAGCGCACACACACATCGCCTGCTCCTCAGCGAGCGCACACACACATCACCTGCTTCTCACCGAGCGCGCACACACATCGCCTGCTTCTCACCGAGCGCACACACACATCGCCTGCTTCCCACCGAGCGCGCACACACATCGCCTGCTTCTCACCGAGCGCACACACACATCGCCTGCTTCCCACCGAGCGCACACACACATCGCCTGCTTCCCACCGAGCGCACACACACATCGCCTGCTTCCCACCGAGCGCACACACACATCGCCTGCTTCCCACCGAGCGCACACACACATCGCCTGCTTCCCACCGAGCGCACACACACATCGCCTGCTTCCCACCGAGCGCACACACACATCGCCTGCTTCCCACCGAGCGCACACACACATCGCCTGCTTCTCACCGAGCGCACACACACATCGCCTGCTTCTCACCGAGCGCACACACACATCGCCTGCTTCTCACCGAGCGCACACACACATCGCCTGCTTCTCACCGAGCGCACACACACACATCGCCTGCTTCCCACCGAGCGCACACACACATCGCCTGCTTCCCACCGAGCGCACACACACATCGCCTGCTTCTCAGCGAGCGCACACACACATCACCTGCTTCCCACCGAGCGCACACACACATCACCTGCTTCCCACCGAGCGCACACACACATCGCCTGCTCCTCAGCGAGCGCACACACACATCACCTGCTTCTCACCGAGCGCGCACACACATCGCCTGCTTCTCACCGAGCGCACACACACATCGCCTGCTTCCCACCGAGCGCGCACACACATCGCCTGCTTCTCACCGAGCGCACACACACATCGCCTGCTTCCCACCGAGCGCACACACACATCGCCTGCTTCCCACCGAGCGCACACACACATCGCCTGCTTCCCACCGAGCGCACACACACATCGCCTGCTTCCCACCGAGCGCACACACACATCGCCTGCTTCCCACCGAGCGCACACACACATCGCCTGCTTCCCACCGAGCGCACACACACATCGCCTGCTTCTCACCGAGCGCACACACACATCGCCTGCTTCCCACCGAGCGCACACACACATCACCTGCTTCTCACCGAGCGCACACACACATCACCTGCTTCTCACCGAGCGCACACACACATCACCTGCTTCCCACCGAGCGCACACACACATCACCTGCTTCTCACCGAGCGCACACACACATCGCCTGCTTCTCACCGAGCGCACACACACATCACCTGCTTCCCACCGAGCGCACACACACATCGCCTGCTTTCACACACACAGGAACACTTTATTAGCCACTCGGCACAGATTCAGCGCTGCTTCTTGCTTCATGGTTTCGGATAGCGAGGTTATTCAGGAGAAGCTGCTCCACGCTACAGAGCCGAGCTTTGATGTTATTCGTGGAAGCCAATTATCATCCCCCTAGACATTTCACTCAGCAGATACTTCATGTTGTTCATGATTAAAAGTGATTTTTTTCCTTCTCATCTCTGCCTGTTTTTGACCATCAGAGAGCCAGAGTACTATGACTACGGACACGGAGAGACCACAGAGTCGTACGAGTCGTATGGTGAGGAAAAACCTTATTCTCTGTCAACAAAGATGACCCAATTTATACTGTGAATATAAACATGTGCATACAAAAACAAAAACATTTTTAACTAGATATTTTATTCGTACTTTCACATACTATAGTATTTGATTGATTTTCAGATTTCCTTGATTTAGGTGTACATTTAATTCTTACCTTATCTGACATATTTCAGCAGGACTTAACATTTTATTTACACATAATAATCCAAAATGATGTCAGATTTCAAAGTAAGAGCCACTTACTGGTATCATCAAAGGTACCTTTTATAACACAAGCAATATTTCTTGCTGAGAAACATTGTCTTTAAACAAATCCTGAAGCGGTTTGTCCATATTGATTTGAATTATGACTACTGGTGCAATAATGACAGCTGGTAAATGTGGAGCTAATTTGAATGTATATACCGCTGCTGGATCACTTAACCTATAGAAATGCGGAAAATCTGAATCTAAAGAACCAGTAAGCTAAAAGAAGCATTCTGCATCCAAACATCTGTGTGTTTTGATAGTAATGAAAAGTAGAAATATTGAAATGAGGGTATTCAAATGTTCACTCACTCAGTAATGAAACTATTATACCAAAACAACGCCAAGTATCAAATCACATTTGTCCCAGCGTGCTTTACAGATCAACAAACATGCAATACATTGTACTTTTATATTTTATTCCATTCTATTTCAATGTAAATACTGCTTTATTTAATTTTTTATTTTCCTATATTTATCTATTATAATTTTTTTAATGTTAAAATATTTCGCTATCTGTGTTTTTTTGTTGTTGTTTAACTTTTATGTATGCACCACGACACCAAGTCAAATTCCTCATATGTGTCGACCTACCTGTTAATAAACCTGTTTCTGATTCTAAAAGATTCAATAAAACACCATAATACAAACTGGAGTGAATGTTTCATCCCCCTAAGGTTGTATTAGATATCCACCATCTTGTCTTGTTGTAAACGTCTTCGTCCTCTCCAGGCCAGGATGACTGGAACGGGACCCAGCGAGCACCCACAGGGAAGGCCCCCCCCCCCCTCCAGAGGTGCCAAGACGCCTTACCGGGAGCACCCGTACCGACAGTACTGAAGCGGACGCGCCGACCTTAACGCGTCGCCATGACTACCGCCTGTCTCCCACGGCAGCTCTCGCTTTAAGCAGCCCGACAAAAGTAATTGTTCGTTTTGTCTTTGGTTTGGTCTTTCTCCCCGCACTGGACTTTATACGAGAGCGCAAATTTGGGAACTGAAAATCGGAACTGGTTTTTTGAGATTTGACCTTCCTCCCCCCTCCCTATTTCGTCGCACAAACCCAACACTTAACCCCCAACCCACCCCCACCCTACCTTTCGCCACCGATCCCTCCAACAAACCAATCTTGCAGACGGTCAGAGGGGAGAAGTTGGCGTCCTCTTTTTTATTTACTTTTTTTTTATTTTGCTGTGTTTTTTTTTCTTCCTCTGACCCTTTTTAACCCCCCCCCCCCTTCTGGCTTTGTTTGCACTGTTGATATTTAATTTTTCTTAACTGTTTGGGAGTAAGTAGTAATTTCTAGTGGAATAAATGGCTCATTATCAACTTGTAAAAGAAATACATTTTAATTGTTTTAAATACAAATAATCTGTTGAGGGTCAGTTGCAGATTCCCATTTAGGCTACATTTCAAAATTCTGTTAATATAGCCGAATAAAAGACCTTTTAAACTCTGAATGATGTAATATAGACGCAAAAAATAAATCCTAAATTAAGTGAAGGTTAAAGAATCGATGTTAATGGAATTCATTCTTGATGATGGTTTGTTTTTAAATAGTCCTAAAACGTTGTCCATTTAGACTTTAGGCAGCAATAGTTGTCATTGTACGTAGAGTTTTGAAATATAGCCCTAATAGACACTGTTGAGATGGACTGTCCTCATATCCTCAATTTGTTAATACATGTTACAAATTAATTTTAAGACTCTGAAGACAAAATGTGTTAAATAAAAAACGGTTCAGGTCTTCATTTTGTGATCGGGTCCTCTATAAACTGCATGCACAAAGTAAACAAAGAAGGATTGGGACACAAATCTCCACATGGGTCTTCTCTTTCTAAAGAGAAGGGATCCTGCAGCTCAATCCGAACTCTTGTACATATTTTAAAACATCCTAACTGTACTTATTCTGCCACTAGTATCTGTACCCTCTCCATAAAATGCATTATGCTACATGTGTAAGCTTGCCTAAATAGGTTACTAAATCTGTCCAAAAGATGTTTTGCAGCAGTTTGTCAATAAAGCTTAGTTTGTTTTTTATGAAACTTAACTTGCCTTATTTGTTTCCTGTCCTAGTCAAATTCTGAAATGGCCTTTTTTAAACAACCTTCAGCCGACAGATGTAGGTGTTTTCATTTGTTTCTCCTTCAAAAGCGCATTTTAAATCTAAATGAATGTATTGACGTCTGAAGACTTTAACCCTACTAAATGATGTCTTGATTGATTATCAAAAGAGCACAACTTATTCTTTCTCTCTCTTTCTATACTTTTTAAAAAGGACCCAGAGGTAAGACCTCTAAAATAACCTGGATAGCTTCCTAATGTGTATAGAGTTCTAAAGCATTGAATGCCTGGGTATGTATAAGACTTTTTCAATCCTCTTACCTGTGGTCGTAACCGTTAATGAGAATTGCTTTTATAGCATCTGAAAATTAACTGAATTCAAACCACCATTCAGGTCTAGGCTTCATGTCATGAAAGACGCTGGCGCGATGGCTACTTTAGTACAGAGTAATGGCAGTGCAATGGAGAGGATGGTTATAACCTAGAGAACTCCACTGTAAAGGTAACCTAACCCTAAATGTTTAATTTCGTAGTGTGTTTATCCATTGACATAAACTTGCTGGTAAATGCGTAGTTTCTTAAAATATCATTTCAGTCATGGCAACAAAAAAGACTCGCCTCACAAAAAGTAAGAAAACCGTAAATTCCAATATCATTACAGTAGTGGATTTTATGTACCAAAATAACTATTCTGTGTACTAACAAAATACATTAGGATAGTGTAAATGCAACTCTTGCTAAAATGAACAAAGCCAAATCTATGTCAATCTCTTCTGTACAGTTGAGCTGCTGTTACTTATTTAATTTGCTGTGTAAAAGTTGCTTACTGTAATATTTAAAAGGTTTCTGCCTGTATCTAAAAGAGAAAAAGCTTGAGTTGCATGAGCATATCTTCTCCTGTAGACATTGCATGATCTGTCTCTAGTTTCTCCCACTGTTTTTAGACGGGGTATTGATTTTGGGTTTGTCCTTCCTTCAGGCACAGCTATCGGTCACTGAGCGCCCGGAGACTGACAGTCTGCTGAAGTGAGAACCAAAAGAGCCTCAGGTTGGTCCGCCGCCGCATTGTTTCCTCTTTTAAAGAACCACACACCTGCTTTTTGCACTCCTCTCCAGTTCCCGTACAGCGAGTCTTAAAGATTGATTTGTCTACCTTCCAGGCAGCGTTAGTGTCCGTTCAAGTTTGTACAATATGAAGCAACTCGCATGACGTGTAATCCATCACAGTGAACGAGTGGATGCTTATTTTTGCAAAACTTAATTACCTTTGTAGAAAGCAGAACTTATTTGGGTTCAAAACATTCATGGACTCTCAGTCAGAAGGACATAGTTTCACATTTAAGGAACTACGCTATTAGTACTTTTGCATTCATGTGGAAAAAGTAAGCCTGGCTCTATCCGGAAGTGACCAACTTTACCTTCAAAGAGGACATATGCTCTTTTTCAGGAGTATATCAGTATGTAGTGCCTCTACTTTAAAGAGTCCTCTCCTGCTGATGTTCAGGTGTATATCAGTATGTAGTGTCTCTACTTTAAAGAGTCCTCTCCTGCTGATGTTCAGCTGTATATCAGTATGTAGTGTCTCTACTTTAAAGAGTCCTCTCCTGCTGATGTTCAGGTGTATATCAGTATGTAGTGTCTCTACTTTAAAGAGTCCTCTCCTGCTGATGTTCAGCTGTATATCAGTATGTAGTGTCTCTACTTTAAAGAGTCCTCTCCTGCTGATGTTCAGGTGTATATCAGTATGTAGTGTCTCTACTTTAAAGAGTCCTCTCCTGCTGATGTTCAGGTGTATATCAGTATGTAGTGTCTCTACTTTAAAGAGTCCTCTCCTGCTGATGTTCAGGTGTATATCAGTATGTAGTGTCTCTACTTTAAAGAGTCCTCTCCTGCTGATGTTCAGGTTCATATCAGTATGTAGTGTCTCTACTTTAAAGAGTCCTCTCCTGCTGATGTTCAGGTGTATATCAGTATGTAGTGTCTCTACTTTAAAGAGTTCTCTCCTGCTGATGTTCAGGTGTATATCAGTATGTAGTGTCTCTACTTTAAAGAGTCCTCTCCTGCTGATGTTCAGGTGTATATCAGTATGTAGTGTCTCTACTTTAAAGAGTCCTCTCCTGCTGATGTTCAGCTGTATATCAGTATGTAGTGTCTCTACTTTAAAGAGTCCTCTCCTGCTGATGTTCAGGTGTATATCAGTATGTAGTGTCTCTACTTTAAAGAGTCCTCTCCTGCTGATGTTCAGCTGTATATCAGTATGTAGTGTCTCTACTTTAAAGAGTCCTCTCCTGCTGATGTTCAGGTGTATATCAGTATGTAGTGTCTCTACTTTAAAGAGTCCTCTCCTGCTGATGTTCAGGTGTATATCAGTATGTAGTGTCTCTACTTTAAAGAGTCCTCTCCTGCTGATGTTCAGGTGTATATCAGTATGTAGTGTCTCTACTTTAAAGAGTCCTCTCCTGCTGATGTTCAGGTTCATATCAGTATGTAGTGTCTCTACTTTAAAGAGTCCTCTCCTGCTGATGTTCAGGTGTATATCAGTATGTAGTGTCTCTACTTTAAAGAGTTCTCTCCTGCTGATGTTCAGGTGTATATCAGTATGTAGTGTCTCTACTTTAAAGAGTCCTCTCCTGCTGATGTTCAGGTGTATATCAGTATGTAGTGTCTCTACTTTAAAGAGTCCTCTCCAGCTGATGTTCAGGTGTATATCAGTATGTAGTGTCTCTACTTTAAAGAGTCCTCTCCTGCTGATGTTCAGGTGTATATCAGTATGTAGTGTCTCTACTTTAAAGAGTCCTCTCCTGCTGATGTTCAGGTGTATATCAGTATGTAGTGTCTCTACTTTAAAGAGTCCTCTCTTGCTGATGTTCAGGTGTATATCAGTATGTAGTGTCTCTACTTTAAAGAGTCCTCTCCTGCTGATGTTCAGGTGTATATCAGTATGTAGTGTCTCTACTTTAAAGAGTCCTCTCTTGCTGATGTTCAGGTGTATATCAGTATGTAGTGTCTCTACTTTAAAGAGTCCTCTCCTGCTGATGTTCAGGTGTATATCAGTATGTAGTGTCTCTACTTTAAAGAGTCCTCTCCTGCTGATGTTCAGGTGTATATTAGTATGTAGTGTCTCTACTTTAAAGAGTCCTCTCCTGCTGATGTTCAGGTGTATATCAGTACGTAGTGTCTCTACTTTAAAGAGTCCTCTCCTGCTGATGTTCAGGTGTATATCAGTATGTAGTGTCTCTACTTTAAAGAGTCCTCTCCTGCTGATGTTCAGGTGTATATCAGTATGTAGTGTCTCTACTTTAAAGAGTCCTCTCCAGCTGATGTTCAGGTGTATATCAGTATGTAGTGTCTCTACTTTAAAGAGTCCTCTCCTGCTGATGTTCAGGTGTATATCAGTATGTAGTGTCTCTACTTTAAAGAGTCCTCTCCTGCTGATGTTCAGGTGTATATCAGTATGTAGTGTCTCTACTTTAAAGAGTCCTCTCCTGCTGATGTTCAGGTGTATATCAGTATGTAGTGTCTCTACTTTAAAGAGTCCTTTCCTGCTTGATGTTCAGGTGTATATCAGTATGTAGTAGTCTCTACTTTAAAGCGTCCTTCCTGCTGATGTTCAGGTGTATATCAGTATGTAGTGTCTCTACTTTAAAGAGTCCTCTCCTGCTGATGTTCAGGTGTATATCAGTATGTAGTGTCTCTACTTTAAAGAGTCCTCTCCTGCTGATGTTCAGGTGTATATCAGTATGTAGTGTCTCTACTTTAAAGAGTTCCTCTCCTGCTGATGTTCAGGTGTATATCAGTATGTAGTGTCTCTACTTTAAAGAGTTCCTCTCCTGCTGATGTTCAGGTGTATATCAGTATGTAGTGTCCTCTACTTTAAAGAGTTCTCTCCTGCTGATGTTCAGGTGTGTAGTCAGTATGTAGTGTCTCTACTTTAAAGAGTCCTCTCCTGCTGATGTTCAGGTGTATATCAGTATGTAGTGTCTCTACTTTAAAGAGTCCTCTCCTGCTGATGTTCAGGTGTATATCAGTATGTAGTGTCCTCTACTTTAAAGAGTCCTCTCCTGCTGATGTTCAGGTGTATATCAGTATGTAGTGTCTCTACTTTAAAGAGTCCTCTCCTGCTGATGTTCAGGTGTATATCAGTATGTAGTGTCTCTACTTTAAAGAGTCCTCTCCTGCTGATGTTCAGGTGTATATCAGTATGTAGTGTCTCTACTTTAAAGAGTCCTCTCCTGCTGATGTTCAGGTGTATATCAGTATGTAGTGTCTCTACTTTAAAGAGTCCTCTCCTGCTGATGTTCAGGTGTATATCAGTATGTAGTGTCTCTACTTTAAAGAGTCCTCTCCTGCTGATGTTCAGGTGTATATCAGTATGTAGTGTCTCTACTTTAAAGAGTCCTCTCTCCTGCTGATGTTCAGGTTATATCAGTATGTAGTGTCTCTACTTTAAAGAGTCCTCTCCTGCTGATGTTCAGGTTCATATCAGTATGTAGTGTCTCTACTTTAAAGAGTCCTCTCCTGCTGATGTTCAGGTGTATATCAGTATGTAGTGTCTCTACTTTAAAGAGTCCTCTCCTGCTGATGTTCAGGTGTATATCAGTATGTAGTGTCTCTACTTTAAAGAGTCCTCTCCTGCTGATGTTCAGGTGTATATCAGTATGTAGTGTCTCTACTTTAAAGAGTCCTCTCCTGCTGATGTTCAGGTGTATATCAGTATGTAGTGTCTCTACTTTAAAGAGTCCTCTCCTGCTGATGTTCAGGTGTATATCAGTATGTAGTGTCTCTACTTTAAAGAGTCCTCTCCTGCTGATGTTCAGGTGTATATCAGTATGTAGTGTCTCTACTTTAAAGAGTCCTCTCCTGCTGATGTTCAGGTGTATATCAGTATGTAGTGTCTCTACTTTAAAGAGTCCTCTCCTGCTGATGTTCAGGTGTATATCAGTATGTAGTGTCTCTACTTTAAAGAGTCCTCTCCTGCTGATGTTCAGGTGTATATCAGTATGTAGTGTCTCTACTTTAAAGAGTCCTCTCCTGCTGATGTTCAGGTGTATATCAGTATGTAGTGTCTCTACTTTAAAGAGTCCTCTCCTGCTGATGTTCAGGTGTATATCAGTATGTAGTGTCTCTACTTTAAAGAGTCCTCTCCTGCTGATGTTCAGGTGTATATCAGTATGTAGTGTCTCTACTTTAAAGAGTCCTCTCCTGCTGATGTTCAGGTGTATATCAGTATGTAGTGTCTCTACTTTAAAGAGTCCTCTCCTGCTGATGTTCAGGTGTATATCAGTATGTAGTGTCTCTACTTTAAAGAGTCCTCTCCTGCTGATGTTCAGGTGTATATCAGTATGTAGTGTCTCTACTTTAAAGAGTCCTCTCCAGCTGATGTTCAGGTGTATATCAGTATGTAGTGTCTCTACTTTAAAGAGTCCTCTCCTGCTGATGTTCAGGTGTATATCAGTATGTAGGTGTCTCTACTTTAAAGAGTCCTCTCCTGCTGATGTTCAGGTGTATATCAGTATGTAGTGTCTCTACTTTAAAGAGTACCTCTCCTGCTGATGTTCAGGTGTATATCAGTATGTAGTGTCTCTACTTTAAAGAGTCCTTTCCTGTTGATGTTCAGGTGTATCAGTACGTAGTGGCTCTACTTTAAAGAGTCCTCTCCTGCTGATGTTCAGGTGTATATCAGTATGTAGTGTCTCTACTTTAAAGAGTACTCTCCTGCTGATGTTCAGGTGTATATCAGTATGTAGTGTCTCTACTTTAAAGAGTCCTCTCCTGCTGATGTTCAGGTGTATATCAGTATGTAGTGTCTCTACTTTAAAGAGTTATCTCCTGCTGATGTTCAGGTGTATATCAGTATGTAGTGTCTCTACTTTAAAGAGTCCTCTCCTGCTGATGTTCAGGTGTATATCAGTATGTAGTGTCTCTACTTTAAAGAGTTCTCTCCTGCTGATGTTCAGGTGTATGTCAGTATGTAGTGTCTCTACTTTAAAGAGTCATCTCCTGCTGATGTTCAGGTGTATATCAGTATGTAGTGTCTCTACTTTAAAGAGTCCTCTCCTGCTGATGTTCAGGTGTATATCAGTATGTAGTGTCTCTACTTTAAAGAGTCCTCTCCTGCTGATGTTCAGGTGTATATCAGTATGTAGTGTCTCTACTTTAAAGAGTCCTCTCCTGCTGATGTTCAGGTGTATATCAGTATGTAGTGTCTCTACTTTAAAGAGTCCTCTCCTGCTGATGTTCAGGTGTATATCAGTATGTAGTGTCTCTACTTTAAAGAGTCCTCTCCTGCTGATGTTCAGGTGTATATCAGTATGTAGCGTCTCTACATGTCTCCATGCTTTAATGTTCAAAAAGCTCTTTATTTTTCTCATACTGCCTGTGCTGCAGCACCTCTTTTCACCCTCTGTCTGAAACCAGAGCCCAGTCTGCTCTGATTGGTTAGCTGGCCGTCTTTGTTGTGATTGGTCAACCACTTAGAGATGTCCCGCCCCTTCGCCTATCACGTACAATGTATTGGAACTTTAGCCAATAGGAGCGCAAGTGTTCCCATCGCACATCTTTGTCAAAATATCTATCCAACTATTTAATCAGTGTTCATACGTGAGTTTGTTTATAGTCAACAACCGGAGGTCAATTGTTACTAAAAAGTGTACATTTAAAAGTCTGTTAGAGCCCAGATATTAGTTGTCAAATCATAATTGAGTTTCTTTTTATGAGTTGATGTAAAATGTTGGTTTAAATTGGCATCTCATATTGATCAAAGTTCCCTGAATTGTTGTACATATAATGAATATGATATTGTCTCGTGATTCAACTTGTGATTTACATCCCTGCCTGGCAACTGGTCCAAATCACAAAATAGTCTTGTCACTATTCTCCCTGTTAAACTGTACTTTTTTACCCCTCACTTTCTGACCATTATGCTAGCTGTTCCCCATCGTTAAGCTACGCTAAGCTAACGAGCTACTGGCTGTATCTTCATGTTTGCTATACACACATGGGAGTACATATTTGGGTTCTAAAAAAAATGCTTTTTCAGCTGAAATCACCACTAAAGACGCTTTTTAGTCCCGTTTTGCAGCTGACAAAACCCCCCGCTGTGATGGATTAGCCCTCTCCTGCTGAAATGTGAATTCTACACAATCTGTAGGTAATGGTGTAAAACCTTCAAAACCACTGGTATGGTTCTCTAACTTTTCCCATTTCCCCAAAAGACCATTGAAAGAAAGTGTGCTAGCGTTATGCAGCCGCAGCACGTTGGTGATATTCACAGCGTTTCAGAGGTTGGTTGATTCTGATGATTGCCCGGCTCCTGTAAGTCGCCTCTTGACAGTGAGTCGCTGTGTGGCCTCGCCAGCCTTCAGCGAGTCTGAGCGAGGGGGGGGGGCGCGACGCCGGTGTCAGAGTGTTCTCAGGGAAAGTGACTAATGAGGATCCGTAGCTCAGAGCGCTCTGACAGAAGGAAAACAGGAACGAGAGGACTCGGCTGGCGATTCCCGAAATGGAACTAGCAGCAGAAGAGAGGTGTCGGAGGGATTCTTCTGATGTCCTGTATGTGCCTTGAAGGCAGGGAGGAAAGTTAAATGAAGCATCCAAAAGTAATGCTCGGTGGTCAGACTCTGAGAAACAGAACTGTCGTTGGGATTTCAGTCGAGGGAAGCTGGATAACGAGCTTTTAAAGAACATTCTGAGATGCTTTTTGATGGAAAGGTCACTGACTTGTTTGATGAATGTTTTTCAGCTCGACTAGGCCTACTGCCAGTTTTCAGACATATCAGAAATAAATGCTTGTTGCTTTGGAAATCTTTTCACTTAAGTCCCTTGGTGAAGAATTTGACTATTTAGTAATGAAACTATGTAGAGATTCATGTCCGGACTTCATAGAAATCTTGATTTATAAAAGAAATATGTCCGCTCTTTGGTTTCTCACATAGACTGTATATATAAGGTTTCTCATTGGCTTTGATATAAGTGCCATAAGTGCTGCCAAATACTCAAAAACCAAGACATGTGACCACATTAGCTGCTGATTGAATCATTAATGCACTTAATCCAAAGGTCTTGCCAGTAATTATGTGTTACTTAACAAAATGCTTTGCTCTCTCGAAGAGCTGTGCGACTTGGCAGGAAAATGACCTTTGAATTATTACAGCCACTGCTCAAAAATGGAAAAGAAAACACTACCTCTTATCTGCCGTTAAATGACTTTAAAGTAGACGACGAGTTGTGACTTAAAGTTTAGAAATAACACGAGTGTAAGGAAAAATGACTGTGTCCAGACAATTGCCCCTTTAGTTTTCTAAAACATAAAATGGATGATTTCTAGAAATGAATTAATAGTAGTAGGACCATTATACATTAACATTTCGGCTAGTCTTTTTTAAATACATGTAAACAAAATTGCAGCGTTAACAAAATGTTGTTTATTTAACTTGCTGTCATTTGATTTGTAAGATTGACCTTCTGGCAATTATTTGGCGACATAGTAACATACAGAACACACATGTTAACAGTTGGATTTTACATTAATTTCTTTGCATCATAAACATTGAACTGAAGTACTCTTTACTTAACGAAAGATATTAATACTGTGGCCTTGAAATACTCAATTACAATGAAAAGTCCTGAATTTAAATAATAGGTAGCAAAGTACTCAGTTTTCAAATTGTCTTTTAAGCTAGTAACTAAGAGTGTTTTGAAATTGAAGATGTGTAGGAACTTTGCTTAACCCTCCTGTTATCCTTGGGGTGAATTTGATCCCATTCAATGTTTAACGTATCAAAAACATTTCATGACTTTTCCTAATTTAGTGAGGACTAATGCGTAAACATAAAATGAACATGAAGACCTTTTTTAAATGTCCTGTACGCACTTTGTACCATCGGTGATTGATTGATCATTGGTTGATTGTGTAGGATGATATTGATGTGACTATTACATGCAAATGTATCATTGTAAAACAAAACTACCCTCTGCTTTAGTTATTGGTGCTTTAACAACATCAAAAAGATCTTACTTTAACATTTTATTTCAATCAGTGAGATTTTATGGTGATTTATATATTTTTTGAGTCACATAATAGGAATTCTGGATGTATAAAGGGGTCTGTAGGGGGAAGGTTTTATTTAAATGGTTATTTAATTAATTAGTCAACTAAGATACCTAAAGCACCAGAGACATTCATTTAGGTTAAAATGTGGAATATTATCATTGTCTTGAGTTTTAAACTACTGGGGTCAAATTGACCCATGAGGATAAAGGGTGTAAAGTCAACCTGAGGATAACAGGAGGGTTAAAGCAGCATATCACGTGTTTTATATATGTCAGAAGAAGCTACTAAATATGGGTGATAAATACATGTTTAGAGGCGGTGGTGGCGAAGTCGATAGGGACTTGGCAACTGGAAGGTCACCAGTTCAAGTCCTGGCAAGACCAAGTGCTACCGAGGCTGAGCAAGGCACCGTTCCCTACACTGCTCCCCGGGCGCTGTTCAAAATGGCAGCACACTGCTCCTAACACTAGGATGGGTCAAATGCAGAGAAACAATTTCCCCACGAGGGATTAATAAAAAGTATATCTATCATGTCGTAAAAAGTACAATATTTGCCACTTAAATATAGGAACGTAGAATAAAATGTAGCATATAATGGAAATACTAAGGAAAAATACATGCGTCTAATCTATCAGATACAGTCAGGCATATTTTGAAATTGAAACGGTGTAGGAGCTTTACTGAAAGAATAGATATTGTGTGTTTGTCTATAGTCTCTCAGTTTTCTTTTTTTATTACTGCAGATTTGTATTCCATATTTTATTCCATTTAATAAAATAAATACTGTTATATTTTACTATATGTTTGTATTATTTGTAATATATTTCAAGTTCTCTTATCCGTATTTTTGTTTTACTTTTATGTATTCAAATTCCTCGTTTACGTGTCAACCTACCTGGTATTAAACCTGTTTCTGATTCTTCTGATTCTGGCGTCTCTCCTGTGATTTCTCTCCTCTGCAGGGAAGAAGTACGGAGCAGCTCAGCATTAAGGAGGTGGTCGGACGAGAGGAGTGGGGGGGGGGGTTCTGGTGCCAAATAATCCACAGGATGAAGCTGATAAAGAAGTGTCCGAGGAGACTCAGCTGGGAACCCAGAATACCCAGAGACATTTCAAGTGGACTATTTTCTACATTTTCTCTATGCTGAATTATGTTATATTCTGACAGTGAAGACACACACTGACGCCAAGCTGCTTCTACAGACCACCCTCTCTTCCAACAGATGTAATTGTTCCAGTCTAATTCACCATAAAATGAGCTCTGCTGTTATAGTACGCTGTGAAATTGTCTTTAATTTCTATTAACTCTTGGATTAGACGTGATGATATTTTCTGCAAGGCAAGCAAAATCCACGCAGAATCGTGTACATTTAATCTATTTTAGAATTGTTTTACATTCTTGTTGCGTGTTATTTGGTACCCATGCCTTATTGCCGAGTGCAATTACACTCTGTGCAAAGATGCCTGGAGAGAGTGGATCACTATCTCGCACACACACTCTCATTCTCACACACACCACCACATCTAGCACGGCCTGTCCAAGCCCTGAGGATATCAAATGCTAATGCAGCGGGCCATTTGCATGTACTCACATGTAGCCTCTCCGCAAATGTGCAACACTTTCAAAACCAACGCTGGCCTGCTCTCAGCGTCAGCATCTATTTATGATAATAGAGCGAGATTCGGAGAGCTGCATGTGAGAAAGGACGGAGGGTGAACACAGACATTACTAACCACCCTCCATCCATCCATCATTTTCTGTTGATTTGATTCCCTCTATGCCATTTTCTGCCATTATCACTGATGATATTATGGCTGCCTGCGGTGCAGAGCTACATTTAGAGGTCAAAACTATACTTTCCTGTATTAAAAACCAATGTATCCGCCCCGATTCGCCGGTCAGAGGCTCCATTTAGCTTATTGAAAAAGCTAGCCGCTCAGAGGATGCAACATTGGATATTAGAATAGAAACCATCATCTGGAATGAAACGTCAACAGGCCATATCCAAAACAGATCATTTTTCAGTCTTTATGTGCTATTATGTCTAAAATAATGATTTCAGTGTCTCCTATAATCTAATGAAAGATAAGTGATGGTGGTGGGAGCCATCTGCTTTGTTGGAATCGATGAACTGTCAAGAGCGGGAGGGTGGAAGAGAAAGTAAATGTTGCTGTGCCGTGATCAATAAAAGTAGAGTTGAAAATGAGCAAGCCCCATGTATCAGTCTGTGTTGTTTCCCTCTCGGCTGGAGCTGCTGTTTGTCCCCACCTCCATGCAGTCAGCTGGCATCTGGTGGGTGAAGAGATGGAGGTGAGAGACAGGAGGCCTTCTGGTGCTAAAGGGGGGGACAGAGTGTGGAGGAGGATGTGTTAAAATATGTGAGAGGTGGAAATACTGTGGGCAGATATGGTGGACAGCTGGATTGCAGATTCACACCATGAGAGGAACATCGCATGCTGATTCCTGTGACAATCAGCCTCCACAGACACATCAGCTGCTGCTCATCAGAGAGCCAATCATCTCGCTCACATCAAGTGGGCTCAGCTGAGTTCCTCTTGCACGAGAAGCTTTGAAGAGGCATAAGGACGGTTACTGTAATAAGCAGTCTGTTCTTTCTTATATTCACACTGTATAGATCAGGGGTGTCCAAACTCAGCAAATTCAAAAAGTATAAGGAAATCTGGCCCACAAATGAAACTTCTGCTTGTCTTATATTATACTCCTTAAATATATATGTTCAAATCTATTACACAGTATTCATGTGTTAATAAGCTACATTTTCAAATGCATTCAGTCAATTAAAGTTGGAAACATTTTCTAACAAATCTAAGCTGTTGAGAAAAAGATATAACCCCAATAACTTATTTCCTTAACAACCTTGAAATATACCCTTCCTATTTCCTCTTATAATCAATCTGAAGCTTCTGCTTTAAGGAATGAGCTGCTAACTAAATAACTGAAGCCCTCTGTGTAAAGGAATATTTTAGTCTGATGCGTAGCTGTACTGAGAAACTTCACATGAGTGACTACTCTTTCTCTGTGTGGGGGGAAGGGTTTACTGCCCACTCAGACAGAGTTTCTTTGTCTGTTCAGCTGTAATCGATTAGGGGAAAAGGCGGGCTGTTTGGACCCCTCCTTTAAAGGATATATAGAGATGTTTCTGTCTGGTGTGTTTAGAGTTAATTTTGGCAGCTTGCATTGAACAGTGCGAGTTGCTTTGTTAATCCTCCGGCCGTTTGTCTCTCAATAAATATCAGTGTATTGACAGGCGAATCCAGTTTCACTGAGGTGCTGATTGGCTCAAAACTCTTCTTCATCAGAGCGCCATATCTCAATCCCCCCCAATTGCTCTGCTTTTGTGGCTCAATTCAGTGGAGCGCTGTGGTGTAGGCCGTTTTCTTCTTAAAGCATTTTCAAGTAACAAGAATAATTCATTGGATTGATTTTTCCAACTTATAACTTCACTTATGAGGCAATATAACCAACACAGTCTCACGGCATTTCGTGTTATAGTCACAAAATTAATCTATTGATTCCTGTTTACCAACACGATTTTCACATTTTTTTCTTGTCGCACAGAACGATTTTAAAAGCAACGTAAATAATAACAAATTAGAAGGAAAAAGAGATACAAAAAAAATACAGATTTCAGTATTCTGACACAGAACGATTTTAGAAGTAATGTATTTCTATTGGTAGTATGTTTCGTGCCTGCACCAAATAATAACAGATTAGAAGGAAAAAGAGATTTAAAAAAATGCAGATTTCAGTATTCTGAGGCTCTGCCATTTCTTTTCCTCGCGGACGGCAAAAAAAACTCTGACATTATACTATTTAAAATAAAAGGGTTAGGCTTAAGATATTGAGCAAGAAAATGTTTTTATGAACCACACAGCTTCTGGTCTTCCAAGACCCGACCGGACAAAAAGACGTGGTGCAGGCACGAAACACACTACCAATAGAGATACATTGCTTTTAAAATCGTTCTGTGACACGAAAAAAATGCGAAAATCGTGTTGGTGAACACGAAACAATAGATAAAATTAATTTCGTGACTATAACACCAAATGCCGTGAGACTGGGTTGATATAACTCCCCTCTAGTCAGCGGCCCAGCCCTTCGTCTGTGTTTCTGTATGTGGCCCTCTGTGATAAAGGTTTGGACACCCCTGGTATAAATCCTTTTTTTTTAAGCCCATAAGAAGGGCCAATGGTGCACAATAGGGATAACATGTTTTCAGAAGTTCATAAGCATCAAGGTGCTTGCGTACCATGCTGCGAATGGATCTGGCCCTTCCTACATCCAGGACATGGTTAAACCGTACACCCCAGCGCGTGCACTACGCTCTGCATCAGCCAAACGGCTCGCTGCACCCTCGCTGCGAGGGGGACCCAAGTTCCCATCAGCAAAAACACGTGGGTTTGCTGTCCTGGCTCCTAAATGGTGGAATGAGCTCCCCATTGACATCAGGACAGCAGATAGCTTACACACCTTCCGGCGCAGACTGAAAACTCATCTCTTTCGACTCCACTTCGAGCGATATAATTACTAACAAAGCACTTTTATACTAATAAAGGACTGGCTTATCTATAGCCAGTTGAGTAGCACTTGAAATGTTTGGCTCTATGAAACCTGATGTACTTATATGATTCTGTTTTCTTCAAGGTTGTATCTTCTTGGTCGAATGTACTTATTGTAAGTCGCTTTGGATAAAAGCGTCAGCTAAATGTAATGTAATAATGTAATGGATTTGGCCGACATCTATATGTCAGTAGCCAGTAAGTATGACAACAAGTTACCAGTGTACCATTAAGAGAGCATATTGAGATGTTGTTGGTGCTTACCATGATCCCTGGAGCTGAGTTTGTATTCAAAGTTTGCACAAACCAGTTTCACAAAGTGCTAATGCTTATGAAACATCTGCCTGGGGAGAAAAAGGGCAGAGGTTCTTCCTCATGAATCTGGTCATCAGCACAAGTCTTTTAACAACGATGGGGAATGATATATGTATACAAAGAAGGTATGTTTTTTAGGCAAAACCTCACATTGATAACACTGGTCAGGTGATCTTTGGTCACAGGTGTAAGGGGGCGTGGCCTGGGGAACAAGGAAGAGAATTGTTTGTGGTCTGGATGGAGGAAATGTTTTTGGAGGAGTAATAAAGGAGCTTTTAGCCTTCAGTGGAAAGGAGAAAACACGTTTCACTAATTGTTCTACCTCATCCAAAGAAGAACAAACAATGTGATTTGAGGATACTGAGCAGAGGACTGGAAGTCAAGCCAAGACCAGATTCCCAATAACTACATCTGGTAAGCTTGATTCTTTCTGTGTTTTATTGAAAAGCATTGTGTTGGGGTTATATATTATTCCCTTTGGAAAGGAGGACATACAGATTTGAGTTTTGAGGATGTTTGGATTGGATAATGCGAACTGTTTTGAATTGGACACACTTTTGAATGGTTATTTCCATGTGACCTAAGGTTCTTAATATGTTCTGTTGAAGCACAACTAAGATTACTTTATTGTTCTTAGAAGGGCTTTAAAGACACCTTTAGTATTTGAAATCCTTTTTAAAAGCAGGTCTTAGCATTGCAGTAGTTCTTACATTTTCTAACAGCTTGCGCCACTTTAGGTTTCTGCAACCACAGCACTCGTACATATGCTCATATTAAATGCTCTCTAACTTTTATTTAGGTCCTTTCAAGGCTTTATTAAGTAGAACACCAACTTTCCAAAGTGATTGTTGATGTTTGAAAGGCATTGTGTCTCTTTAGTGGTGTTTTCTGCACAGGCCCGGTCTCATCATGGATGGCTCCGAGGGGACCAGAGTACAAGAATTAGGCCAGCTATAAAAAGTGGATGAATCTCACTTTTGAAATGGTTGCCATGAAAGACTTACTAGATGCTACAGTGCAAAGTGAGATAGCGTGAAGCATCCTGTGTGTTTGTGCCTGCAAGACAGAGACTGGAAGCACATCTCGCTTTGTTTATTAATGAAGGGGAACAGTGAGTGCTTCTGTGCGTGTATCGGTTTCTGCCGAGAGGGTGATGGAAAGCGAGAGAGAATGAGGAGTGTCTTTACATCTGTGCGTGGGAGGATATTTGCTAGAAAATGTCATACCTGTCATGTTTCCTAAATAACATTTATCAAATTGCGAGATCAAATTTAAAGAGCAACACGCCTCATTTTAAGTACAGTTTGCAATCTGAAAGCTCTCGACAGGCAGACCTTTCTCTAATCCCATTGATATTCAAAACCTGGCGTCTGTGCGTGTGAGCTCACACCGGTGTGTTCACACGTTGAATTCTTACGATCCCTTGTGGCAAGAAGAGATCAATAAGAATCAGAATCCCTTTATTAGTCCCACAGAGGGGACATTTGCATCGTTGCAGCAGGAAAGAGCCACACGCAGCTTAATGTTACATATGTTGAGAAAAAAGTACTAAGTTATGATATAATAAAAATGTAATATAAAAAATAAAAGTAAAAGAAAAAATACTTTCCAAAATACAAAAATACAAATCCTGTAACAGTTCGTATATTACACAGTTATTAATGGCATATGTATATAATGTATATATTGCACATAGTTTGATGGTATTTAACTGCAGCAAGTTACACAATTTACAAGATACAAAATGCAAAAAAGACACACCTTGTAACGGTTCTAAGGATTTAGCAGCCAGTTATAAATTACACAGTTATTAACGGCATATATATATATATATATATATTGCACATATTGCACATAGTTGTTTGGTATCAACTGACTCGAGCTTTACTGAAGTTAGCCTTTTCTTTAATGTACAGACTGCTCAAATCAAATCAAATCAAAGTTTATTTATAAAGCACATTTAAAAGTGATTTCTGGTCGGGCCAAAGTGCTGTACATGTAATAAATACTACAATCACTTAAAAACACATTACTACATTCATAATAAAAGACAATAAATTACAACAGATATATAGAAAACACAGGGAAAAGTCAGGAGTCGTGCTCCGCTCTGACTAAAAGGCCAGGGAGAAGAAGTGAGTTTTAAGTGTAGAATTAAAACGCCCTAGGGTCTGGGCCGACCTCACATGGAGGGGCAGAGTGTTCCAGAGCCTAGGGCCAGCTGCTGCGAAGGCTCGGTTCCCTCGGGTTTTGAGCCTGGTCTTGGGCACTACCAGCAGCAGCTGGTCAGCAGACCTTAAAGCTCTGCCTG